AGACAGAGGAGGCCCATACAGAACAATCACAATGGAGAATTTGTTTACAGGCTGTCTCAAGAAGAAACATACTGCTTCCCTTTATCATCACTTGTCAGAGCAGTGACAGCCTATAAACCTCCTGCCCATGCATTATCCTTTATTTGTCACCGCTTGTGCCAACTCTTGCCCTGGCAGGTGACTGGCATGTGTCAAACTTATGATTCATGGGTTCGTTTGATCAGCACTGTAAAGAAAAGTATGATGTATTTTCTTTTAAATTACAAATTAGACATTTGCTCCCCATATCCAGTGACAGGGGCTTTGGCTACTTTATATGCAAAAGGTACCACTTATAGCTCACTGCAGAATTTAAATACTGGCTTCTCTCTCATGCCCAGCTCTGAAAGTGGAATTTATGTAATATTACAGCATATAAATTAAACCATCCTACCTCCCTGTTCTGTTGTCATGGCAAACCTGCTCGAACTGCTTCCTTTGATAATAAATGGGCAGAATGTTGTCCCCTGGACATTTAAAGGTCTTTTTATTACAGGTTGTTTTCTACTTTACACACCGCATTATCATTTCTTAAAGAATTTCTTCAGAATTATGGGTTTGCACTGACATTGATTCATGTGTGTTTACCTGTGCACTTGAGTTTACCTACTTGTAAATGTATGTGTGTAATATACAGGTTTAGTGTGTGAGATGCTTCTTCTGGAGATAATATTAGCAACAAGATAATTGGAATCTGTGAGAAAATGCAGTTGTACTCTAGGAAATAAAATATCATTTGGTGTTCTGTAAAGGAAGTTTATGGAATTCTGTGAAAAGGGGCAGTATACTTTAATATATTTGGCAAAATACAAGACTAAGAAAAAAAAATTGTCAGTGATCACAAACACCGAGATCATGTTAATCACATTTATTCCCATACAGAGAGTTTAAAAATCTTGTCTAGTCTGTTTTAAGCAACAGTTGAGATGTGAGATTCCCAGTTATTGTCTTTGTCAGAGCATGTATGTCTTCATGACCCTTGGCTCAAAGACAGGCTCTTGCATTAAGTAGTTAGCCTTTAAAGCCAGCTGCTGACTGCAGGTCCTTAAGACTTACCATTTTGCTTTAAAGAGTCTTAAGTAAAGCCAAGTTCATTTAATGAGTGGTTCAACATGAAAGATATGCTTTCACTACTTATATAAATGGTAGGAAACACTACAGTTTTCTTTAAAACTCCTACTGTCTACATACTGTTCTACTGTCACTGGCTCTTACTCTGTGTTTGTTTATGCTTTTAGAGGCTGGTAACATTCAAAACAGTTATTGCTATAAGACATTGCAGGAGAAAATACAATATGAGAGCACTTTCATATTGATTTAAGTTTAAAAAATTGTTAGAATCATAGAATCATAGAATTAACTGGGTTGGAAGAGACCTCCGAGATCATCAAGTTCAACCCTTGATCCAACCCCACTGTGATTATTAGATCATGGCACTCAGTGCCACATCCAGCCTCGTCTTAAAAACCTCCAGGAATGGTGAATCCACTACCTCTACTTATGGATCCAAAAGGCAATTTTTTTCCTTCCCTTTTAACATCTTTTCATGCTCAGAACCATATTGGAGTTGGTCACTGAACTTAAATACTTTGCAGTGTTTCTATAGTTATGTGTAGCTGTTGAGATTTTTCCCAAATAAATTACCAAACTGCCTTCCTTGCCATATCTGAAAACTAAAGATACAGTAGGTATTGCTTCAGGCATCTATTTTACTATGTTGTGACTTATGGTTAGGTATTACTAACATGTAAGTGTTTTATAAAATTTTAATACCTTATATATCTCTAGTAATCTATATATGTTGATTTGTATGCAGACCTCATCTTTTAATGTCATTTGTCTAAATAAGCTCTATAAAATCTACCATTTATTAGTTTTGCTTTCTTCCTGACTACTTCCAGATACGTCTAAACAAGGATGCATTTAGAATTCTGTGTAAACAAGGTGTGGAAATTTTGTTTGCATACTGCTTTTTTGCAACTTATTCTTTGAGCAACAGGGAGAAAATAATAAAATTATTCAGTTATGGAACTTACTGAGTAGATGAAAACAATTTTGGGATATGTGTTTCTGACATCAAAAGATGTGCTGGATGTTTTAATGCAGTTCTTCACAAATCAGGTGACATGCTGTCTCAAATGTGTGAAGAGCTATGTGAGAGAGAGGGAGGAAGGTAATACAGAGCTCTTGTTTGCTCCACAGAATTTCAGATATTATTCTCACAAAAAAAAAAAAAAGTTTAAAATTTGAGAGACCTTTTTCCTGAGTTTGTAGGGAATATAAAGCAATGAAAGAACAGTGTGAACTACCATTGATTTCATGGAGTTCAAGCTCCAATACAACTGATGACAATCAAATCATATTATTCAACTCCATTGTTATTTAGCAATTGATATAAGAACAGAAAAGAATGTATCATAATATGAGAGTTTACATCATATTATTCTCAAGTGTTTTCCTGAAAAGATAGGCACTCAAACTTTCAGAATTTGCTCTCTGCAAGATGTGAAAAGAACGAAATGAAGTCCTTTGTAAAAGACTGAATTTCACTGAATTAATTTGGCCCAAGACAAATGTTAACAATCGGAATACGTGAAAAGAATACATTTGTATTAGTTCATTTAAACATCAGTGGTGGCCGTATTCAAAACTGCCTGTTGAAAGGGCCTTACTTTAACCATTGTGACTGATTCCTTTTATGACTTGTCTGTATAGTGCACAGCAATGTGGTCTTGCTCTTGGTGCTAGGTCTCCATGCACTATTCAGTGCAAACTTAAGACTTGTGGGTGGAAGAGGTCAGAGGAGAAGGGTTAGATGACCTTAGAGAAATGCAAGAAATTTCTAGTGTCTGAGGACTAACAGAAGCTGTGGTACCTAACAGATTAGGTTTTATTTACTTTGGAAATATGTAATAACCTGTCACTTTGCAGCTGTTTCATTTTTCATGGCTATTAGATGATACAATTTACAATATAGAAAAAAATCCAGACTGACAGCCCTAACAGACTTTCTTATATTACATACAAGGTCTTTGTATCTTTGTTTTTAAGGTCTATTTCCCTTCTTCTATATTCCTGCACCAAGGGAATAGTCTCAATGGAGCTCATAAAAACAGGAAAACAGTTCAATAAATATACACTTTAAACTGTCTTACCTGTGGGCACAAAATGATCCAAGACTTGAATTAACCTCAGTTCAGTCACAATACTGAATTGTAGCTGGTACCTAAAATGAGTCAGAGTAGCACACAGGCCTTGTCCTGTGAATATGGTTGGTCATACAAAAGCCCACCATTCAGGACACAAAACTTCTCTTGACATTGTGACTGCTGAGAGATTGTGTTGGTTTTTTACTGAGTATGTAAATAGTGAAATGGGATGGAAAAAGGGATATTCCTTCATATTTTAGAACTTAAATGTATATTCTAAAGTCAACCACAGAGTAGAAAACCAAAAACCATTCTCTATTTATCTGAATGTCATTCTCCCCTCCCCCAAATCTTGGCTTTCCTCACTTGATCTAATACTTCTCCTGAGCAGTACTATGAACACAAACCACTCTCTTGACTCAGCACATCTCCAAAGTGTTGAGTTTCTCCTCCCAAAACGCCCAACCTGCTCTGTAATCCTTGCAAGCTGATGTTCCCACATCCCTCTTCTGTACCAGCATGCATCGGGATTCCTCAGTGCAGAGGAGCATCCCATGTAGTACTCTCCCACTAAATACACATAACTATATGTTGGTGTTCTACTTCTTCCTAATCTGCTGGTAGATTTGGAGAGTCTTATGTGTTTGTCAGCCAGGACAGGAAAGAGATGAGAAGGAGCATGTGCAGGGAGCTCTACTTCAGTGGAGCATAATTTTATTTTCACACAAGATCTTGTATTGTCTGCACTGTGGCTTGTTTGCTCGTTGCCTGTAGTCTGTGTGTCAGCAGGTACTCCAGTACTCCAGAGTACTGCTAAATGGCAGTCCTTTTGGATTTCTTGCAGTCTGTAATGATGTAATGTCTGGATCAAGGCCTGTGCTGTCCCTAAAAGTCCAAAGAATCAGTAACTAATGTAAGAAACAATCATAACCTGGCAAAGCCATTTTAGTGAGAATTAGCTTGCAACCCCTAGAATCAGTAAATGTGGCTTTTCAACAGTTTTAATTATCATAGACTAAGCTTTTCTCTCCCTTTTTCCCTGACAAATGAAGTTATCATATTTTTCTTAAGTAATGAGTCTGGCAAGCTGAAGTGTTATAGCAAAGACCAAAGATCAGGGTTTGTGTTGTAGATGTATTTAGGAGGCGGTTAAACTATAGGGTGTTTTTTGTTGTTGGGTTTTTTATGATTTTTAGTGCGTTTCTAGTCAGAAGAAAAAATGTTCACAAAGATGATGTTTTGTGATACAAGCAGAGCCAGATTTTGCAGATCAGAGAACCTATCAACTATTCTACATTTGCAGCTTAATTTTACTAGGAAGTCAGCTGTCTATGTGCTTCGTGCTGGTATCCAACTATTAAGATCTTTCTTCGTAGCTGTTTCTCTTCCCATTGCAAAACCAACATAATCATTCTAGTTTTGTTTTTTAAAATTTATTTCCATGCATAGTGCTTCATAATTAGTTGATATAGGGGACCCATTTGGAAAGGACACTGTTTCTAAAACAGCATGCCAGAATGTTTATATGGCCTTGGGCTGCAGGAACGAGAGGATAGATGAATATCCTGCAATTGTTTTGGCCATTATATCGTGGATGGCAGGTTGCCAGTAGCAACTGCAGCAGAGTGTCAGTGTCTTCCTCTGTGTGATAAAACACTGAACCACCTCAGGGAGGATTTGTGGCAGTTTGGAGGACTTGAAGTGACAAGAGATGAAAGTAGATAAGCTGCTTGCAGGTTGTATGCCAACCTGTCCTTCTGTTGGTTCCTCCAGGCCTGGCACCACTGACGCTTTTTTTGCCCTTCCTTCTAGAACATTTAAAAGAGAAGCTGGAGGAATACATGGTCCGTTTTGCCAAAGTGAGGATTGTACGAACCAAGAAACGAGAAGGGCTCATTCGAACCAGACTGCTAGGAGCCTCACTGGCTAGAGGAGAAGTCTTGACATTTCTGGATTCCCATTGCGAAGTCAACGTGAATTGGCTGCCTCCCTTGCTTAGTAAGTGTATGAGCGTTCATCAGACATTAAAATTAGAACATACAGCAAACAATTGAAGCTGTGTCCCACAATAAGCAGGACATACACTGTATCAAAGTGTTTGAAGCTCTGCTGCAGTGTCTTTAAGTGTCATCATGAGAGAGAGCTCTGGGAAATGTAAGCAGCTCCATTTTGTTTCTTATGACTAAAGAATGAGTAACATTTTGAAGTATCATTTTGGCCTAATATAGTCACAGTTTATTTTATTATTAATACTACTAAATACACTACTAAATCTATTATTATGCTATGTCCTTATTATATACCAGAAGAGTTTTCTTATGTAGGATATTGTACTCCTTCCTAGTCTGCCACATTGTGTTAAAACAGCTTTTGCTGTAAATGTATCCAGGGCCTTAGTGTTAAATCCAGTAGCAACTGCATTCACAACAGGAAGCCCAGAAAGAATGATTTGCTATTGACTGCTTTGCTGGATTCCAGCTGCAGCCAGCAAAGCTCCATTAGTCAAAGGAATGGAAAGAATTAATTGTAGTCTAGGATTTCACTTCAGGAAACAATGTCTGCTTTTCTACACACCTGATTACATGCAAAGTGTATATGCTTTGCAAAGTGAGTGCTTTTTTTTCTACTCTAACCAAAGAAAATTTCTGAGTTTCCTGTTGAAGAAATTTGTATTAATTAAAACAGTCTGTTGTAAGTGCAGAACAGGTTATGCTTTCACCAATTAATGGTTTTTATTTCTTGAATTTTCTTGTTTGGACTGTTGGACCACACAGTAAGCTGATAAAGCATTTGCAGGCAAGATGTGCTGTTTTGCTTAATGAACTATCACTAGAGACCAAAAAAAAGTACTAGTAATCAGTTTCTCTTCAGATCAATAACAAGATAATGCACAAAATTCCAAATTTTTATACTTTCTAGTTTCCTTATCAAATTATGCATACAGTCTTTTCTCTTGTTACTCCTTTGCCCTTAGTTACAACATCTGCATTTTTAAAAATAACCTCCATGACTTCATGTGAAGCACAAATGGCATAAAGGAGCTGAGGAAAATACGAGTTTCAACAAGCCTTCAACAGGCAGCCCCAACAAGTAGCTCTTAAACCCTCCAGAGTACTCTACATATACAGCCATCTTTCCTTTGTTTTCTGTTTTTACCCCACTTCACATAATACATTACCACAAATTAAAAAAATCTCAAGAAGCTTCTCACTCTTGTCCTCCAAAGTCTTTTGCTAAGTTACAACAGTAACCCTTCTATTTTGCAAACTTTAACATGAGAAAATTGCAAGTTGCAAGAACAGTTCCTTTTCTTGCTTTTTTCTCTAAAATGAGTCATGGAATCATTAAGATTGGAAAAGACCTGCAAGATCATCAAGTCCAACCTTTCCCCTGATACCACCATGTCCACTAACAATATAATGAAGTCCAGGTCCACGCATTTTTTGAACATTTCCAGGCATAGTGGTCCCACCACTTCCCTGGGTTGCCTGTTCTGTTGCTTAACTAGTGAAGAAATTTTTCCTAATATCCAATCTGAACCTCCCCTGGTGCAACTTGAGGCCATTTCCCCTTGTCCTATCACTAGTTACCTGGGAGAAGAGACTGACTCCCACCTCATCACAACCTCCTTTCAGGTAGTTGTAAAGGGTAATAAGATCTCCTCTAAGTTTCCTTTTGTCCAGACTGAACAACCCCAGTACTCTCAGCCACTTCTCAACAGACCTGTGCTCCAGACATTTCACCAGCTTTGCTGACCTTCTCTGGACTCTCTCCAACACCTCAATGCCTTTGCTTTAGTGAAGGGTCCAAAACTGAACACAGGACTTGAGGTGCAGCCTCACGAGTGCCCAGTACAGGAGAGTGATCACTGCCCTGCTGGCCATACTTTGCTGATAGAGGCCAGGATGCCATTGGCCTTCTTGGCCACCTGCACACTGCTGGCTCATGTTCAGCCACCTGTCAGCCAGCACCCCCAAGTCCTTTTCCTCTGGGCAGCTTTCCAGCCACACATCCGCAAGCCTGTAGTGCTGCATGGAGTTGTTGTGACCCCAGGGCCTCAGCCCATTGATCCAGCCTGTCCAGATCCCTTTGCAGAGCCTTCCTACCTTCCAACATATCAACAGTCTCACCCATCTTGGTATCATCTGCAAACTGACTAAGGTTTCACTTGATCCCCTCATCCAGATCATTGATAAAGATATTAAAAAGAAGTGGCCCCAGTACTGAGCCCTGGGGAACATCACTTGGGACCTTCTGCAAGCTGAATTTAACTCCATTCACCACCACTCTCTGGGCCTGGCCATCCAGCCAGTTTTTTATCCAGTGAAGAGTGTACCTGTCTAAACTGCCAGCTTCTCCATGAGAATGTTGTGGGAGACAGTATCAGGGGCTTTACTGAAGTCCAAGCAGACAATATCCACAGCTTTTCCCTCATCCACTAGGCAGGTCACCTGCTTATAGAAGGAGATAAGTTAGTCAGGCAAGACCAGACTTTCATAAACGTGTGCTGGCTGGGCCTGGTCCTCTGGTTGTCTTGCACATGTGTTATCTCACTCCAAATAGTCTATTCCATACACCTAGCCAGGTTTCACCCTATAAAAATGGGAAAATAATAGAATGGTGGCACAGGATTCATAATTGCAGTTAGGTTGCAGTTGGGTATTCAACCCTCATCCTCAAACCAGAAAACTGGAAAGATGAGAGAAAGTTAATCAGTGACAAAGTCCTTAGTTCTCAAGTGGAGTGAGATCTTTCTTGTTCCACATATAGTAAAATACCCATAGATAACCAACCAGCCAGAGGATCTGGAAATGAATCTTGAGGAATACTGAGATATTTTGAAAGAAAAAGTAAAGCATTACATGAAGAAGGACAAATAGAGAATGAACACACATGTAGTATATTTAAGGATGCCCTGTTTTCCTAAAGGGATGAGAGAACTTTCTTATAAACATTAGATGGCAAATATTTACTACACTGAAATCAGATGACACTTGGCTGCTAATAATAGTAAAGTTAATGTATATTTTCAAGTGTTTATCTGAAGATCTATCTTAAGATTCACTCAGCACTACATGTGACTGAAAGTCATTTAGGGAAACCACAGCAGAGGATATGTTGGGTGTTTATTGCTTTGAAGCTGACCTATTTTAGCTCTGATTGTTTCTACCATGTGTAGTGAAAAATCCTCAACAAGAACACAGTTCAACCCTGCTCTGGACTGGCAGCCTTCACTGAGAGGGGCAGTGGTTTCCACTGTTCCAGCCCAGGTTTTATTCAAAACAAGACCTTGAAAGTTAGAGGACAGGGAGGTGGTGAAGAAACTGAGAGCTATCAGTTAAAGACGGTTCTAACAGTTATTTAGGGAACTTAACTTATATTTTCAGAATTGACTATAAGCATTTAGACCAAAGGAAAACTGAGTTATTTTATTACTTGTAGGGTATCTAACTGGCTCTGTGGAGCTGAGCCACAGTTGTTTTCAGTTACAGTCCTTTGTTTTGCTTTCTTAAAAACTGGTGTAAAATGGCTTTATTTTCTTTAAGCTTTATTTAGTTTATTTAGCTTAAAAGGGCTGTTCAACTTAGATAAGACCCTCTGAGATACCAGATAGACTTGACTCATATTCACTGAGTAGGCAGCTGTAGTGATGTAAAAAGGTTGGCAAATACAGCTGTTTGTTGTCACTCCTCCGTAGTATAAAGTCAGCAGAAGGAAAGGTGTAGCTTGGGCTCTAGCTGCTGTAGTTGGCAGTTTAGTGCAGTGTGAAGTCAGTTATTGCAGATATGAAACTGAATGGCGAACCAGCTGAAAGGTGCAGGCACATATTTCTTTCTCCTGATGTTGCTGCAGGAGAAGTAAGCAGAGAGATGGGCAATAGATCAGTAGTCCCATAGGGTACTAGAACTAAGTTTGTTAAAATGTATTTTTTTCCTGACCAAGAATTAAAAATGCACCATGATTAGATTATGCTTAACAAGTTATCAAAACACTCACTCACTATAGCCATCCATCTGCACAACATGTATGTGATCTATTGCTTGTCAGTGGGGAAACTGGGGATACAAGTACTTATGGCAACTCAGATTACAAGACATAATTTGCTGAGCCACTCAAATGTTGTCACTATCTGTAATCTTATATTTTCCTAGGACAATAACAGTATTTGCATTCATAAATTGCAAAAATAAGAGTAGTTGATACTTGGCATTGTTACTTTATCCAGGTCAATTTGAAACAAGCACTTGAAATTAAAGGTGTGCATCTTTCTCATAGAGATAAAACCTACTGAAATAGTGACTAATCCAATATCGACAAGTTCTTGTTTATTGCCATGTGTGCACACTCTGTTTGATACTAAAAGTGCAGCATTCAAATATGCATGTATATACTGCTTAAAATTGCTAGGGAGAAAGCTCTGAGCAATGTTCTCTCTTTTTCCCATGCTTTCCCTCAAGTCTGCAAGATTTTTGCATGTTCAGTGATGCTTATCTGTCTGTTTTTCCCTTTAATTGCAGCATAGATGCATTGAAACAATGTGTGGACATTTTCAGACCAGTAGGAATTTGTGAGAGGAGGATAAATAAAGGCAATGGAAAAGAAATTGTGAAGCATTTATGCAGTGTCTTTGGGTGTCTTGCATTAGAAGCAGGTGGGGTAAAGAGCAGTGGCTGGCAAAGGCAGCAGCATGTTTACATCTCTAAAGCTATGATACTAGCACACTTGTGAAATGTAAGTCTGTAGCCCTACAGACTTCTTTTCTGTTTCCTAAATTTGTATTCATGCTACATTTAAGCCTAAGTAGTATATATGCAAAATTCATTATTTTAGCCATATGAAAGAAACATTGAGGCTGCAACTTTGGTTACTCTGCTTTTTGGTGTGCACAACACCCTGGTTTCATCACAAGTCAAGATCTTCCCGTGGTTCCTCATCTCTAAAACATTTTGGGGACTGAGAAGTAAGTTCTGCAGAAACACACAAAAGCAGGCAGTTAATCATCATCTTACTTGCAAAATTCTTGAGAGTTGCAGAAATGAAGACTGGTATTGAGTTTGAGCATTGCTCAAGTAAATTTCTCCCTGACTATCTCTGCACGTGACTTGGAGACTTCAAATCCCTCAATGTATTTAAAGACAGCAGATTTTAAATATGAAGAGAGGGATACTAAAGCATTATAAGTCCACCTTTGACCTGCTCTGGCCAAATCAATCCCACTTAGTTTCTCTCCTCCAATCAATTTAGAAGGGGGGGAACAGAGACAGACTGTTATAAGTCCTATAACTATTAGCAGGACCATTGCAGGAAAGAGATTATGTAGAAGTGACTTCATATAATGATCACAGATAACACTACACAGTATACTAGTGAATGTAATTATATTTGGAATAGCAACAGTAATGCAGCCATTATCTCTGAGATGAGTTTCCTGGAATTTTGTGAGAGCCTGTGCTTTAAATTTATTTCACTATTAAAGGATAAGGATGTAAAAACCTCCTGAACTTCCAGTCACAGTAATTTCTCACTTGCAGTCAGCATTGATCCCTTATTTGGACATTCTCTTAACAGCAACTTAGAATAAATGTAAAAACTCAGATGCTATGCTAAAAACTAATGTATACCCTCCTTTCTAAGTGTTCAATCCACACTGAGCCCTCTGATTATTTTTATGGTATTATCAAACCCCAAGTTTTTCACATAGGCCCTAACATATACTAAATAATGTAAAGGATATAGGCTGTGGTTCAGAGAAAAGGCTTTATTGTACTTGGAATTTTGAGATTTTAGTTTTTTCAGGGGTTCGTAGGTAGTTTTTCTACTGTCCTTTCATGTCAATCCTTTCAGATTTTCTCTGTACTTCCTAATTTCAAGCCATTATTCTTCTACCTAGATCTTGCAGTTGGCATATCTTATTTGTTTGCCTTTTGTGTTTTTTTTTGGAGGAGTTCTATAGGATTAGGCAATAGGACTCACCAAAGCAGACTGAAGACCACCTTGAGCTTATACCAGACATGAGAATTTGATTTAGCCTCACAGTTCTAACATTTTTTTCTTTGAAAAAAAGCAAAACCAAACTGCTTTCTTTAGAAAGCAGGTAAAAATAATACTGTGGAGCCTTCTTTATATCTCAAAGATTGGTATAAAAAAAAAGGACACAAGCTCTGTTTTGCTCACGTTGGAGTTTGCCTTTAATTTGGAGCATTTGATCTCAGAGCTGATGCACACTACAATGTGGTGTGAACAGTGTAGGAACAGTGGCTGAATAGTTGCAAGGGCTGAGATTCACATTTAGGAACACAAATCCCTCTCGCAGGAGCTTGCCTTACACACTCCCCACAGCTGAAGGAGTATTTTTACAGTTTGCTTGCTGGTTTGTTTCATAGCTGACAGATTGGGGACAGCTCAGAGTAGCAAAGTGACAGAGATATACATGACTGGACTCATGTGGGTCTCACAGGGATATGCCTCCCTTTAAAGAACTGTAAATACTTCTAATCATTTCCCAACTGCCTTAATTCCACTTTAGATAAAAGTTTGATACAGATTTGAAAATTAAATTATTTGGGGGGCCATAGGGCACAAAGCAAGCAGTCTTCAAACATCAGAAACCCGTGGGATTCACTTTGCAGTAATATGATAGATGGCTTGACTAGACATGCCGTTTCCTATTTTCTACTTTCATTTTTCAGACCAGATTGCACTTAACCACAAAACCATCGTGTGTCCTATGATCGATGTCATTGACCACAATCACTTTGGCTACGAGGCACAGGCGGGGGATGCCATGCGAGGAGCTTTTGACTGGGAAATGTACTACAAAAGAATACCGATTCCTCCAGAGCTCCAGAGAGCTGATCCCAGCGACCCCTTTGAGTAAGTAGTGATAAAGGGGAGAGTGGGAACATGAAGAAGAGCAAGGAGAAAAGGTAACTGTAGGATAATCGAAGCCCAGACGTTTCCATGTAGGCCACTTCCTACTAATGAAAGGTAGTAGAAGTAAACAGCTTCTATACAGGTTTATAAAACCTCAAAACTATGAAAAAGATCAGGGCAACAATTTGCAAAATTCACAAGCTGTGCCTGGAAACACAACCTGGCTCAGTGGTTATAAATAAAACAGGCAGGCACATACCTGTAGTTCAGTTATTGGCACTGGACAAGAAGTAAATGAGATTGTGGGTATTCTGTTTATTCCACAGAAGACTTCCCGAACAGACTTTGTTTAATGTTTTATTTGCTGAAGGTTGATGCAATATATGCGTCAGTAGTTGAGTCCACATTATGCCAGTAGATGCTTTGTTTATAACTGGTGATATTGCTACTGTATATATATTGCTGTAACTTAAGCACAGAGCTCTCAAACCTGAACAGTCTCAAGATGATTTGTAAATAGTTTTAGATAAGGCAGACTCTAATCCCAGTATTAGACAGATCAGTTCATTCACAGGAATGATCTCCTACTTTTCACAAAGGTAGTTCCTTTTTTCTTATATTTTCTTTTAATGTTCTCATGTAAGGATCAGCTAGGATTAATGTACATCAACAGAGAAAGCACAGACAGACAGACATGGTTCAGGTCTCTCACACAGCTGCATTCCAGCAGTGCTGGCAACGGAGGGGACTCTGATGCTATCTTTAGCACTGGCTGAAACTCCACACTGTAGGTTTTGGCAGTTTGAAAACTCAGCATTTTCCCCTTCCCAAAGCAAAACCTGGAAACAATAGCAACAGAAAACCTGTGTCTTGAAGTAATAGATCTAGTTCTACTGCCTTGAAGTAATAGATCTAATTCATGCAGAAGTTTACCCTAATATTCAGGGACTGACCAGCTCTGTATAGGGAAGAGTAGGTAATTGTGACATTTGTGGACTTTTTTTCATTATTCTGCTTGTTTCTTTTTACTTATCTCCATCCAGGCCTCTCAGTCCTCATCTTGTATTAGTGTAAGTGCTGACGAAGTACTTTTCTTCAGCTGCTAATGTGACCACTCCACAACAGAGATGCAGCTATTGCAATCACATGCCCAACATTCCAGAGTTGCTAGAGCCTCCAGTGCTCTTCCACGAGTCTTCTTGGTCCTCTGAGCAGTTGTAATTTCTTGACACTTACTGAAGGTCACCTAGCACATTGTATAATTTGGTTCAGCATTCACAGTTTGTGTTAAAGTACTGTGTTGCAGTTCGAGTCCCCCCCTCCAAATCAGCCATCGTAGTACTATATTGCCAGCACAGATATGGGGTTGCTTATCAGCCAGTTTACACATTTGTAGTTTGTGGTATGCATCTCTCAAGTGCAAGAGAGGATGGAAAAGGAGGCACTCTTAGGAAACTTTCTAGAAAGATGAGGCTTTCTGCAGTGCAGAATAGATGTGGTGGTTTTGCATGAACTGCTGTTCCAATCAGAATAGCAGCAGTTGATACCCACCTTGCCCTGCCATCATTCATAACACATGGGCAGATAAATGGGTTCACAGGGAACAACATATAGGACAATGCAGCCTATAAATCTCTTGTAATCTAAGTAGTTGTTAGGTGGAAAGACTTCCCAGTTCTTACACAAATCAGTGAGAGTCTTCCTTTGTTTTCACTGTCACAGGATCTGCGTCAGAGCGATGCAGTGGCAAAGCAGCATTGCACAGGAAACCACCATGTCTGTCCCCACACGTGCCAGCAGGACTGGAGGCTGGCTGAGCTAGGACAATATGCTTGCTTAAAAGTACCCTCTGACTAGGATGGCAAGGGAATGGAAGTGTTTTAAATAAATCAGTGTGAATTTTGCTTAGGGGAGAAATTATTTTCTAATTTGAAGTCAGTTCTGCTTTTCTCCTAGGGCCTTCTCTGCTGAGACCTCAAGCTTTTAATACCTTGTCTACAACAAATACAGTAAACGTTACAAACCATTTTAGCTATCAATTACTTAATTGACCAAGACAGCTTCTATGGAATTAAAGAGACAGAACAGTTTTCCTTTAGTTGCATATACATTAAAACTAGAAATTACTTCAACCAGCTTCAGCCATAATTATTATGTTACTATTTTGTAAACAGTTGGGATTTTATTTTTTTTTTAATTAGGTTAAATGTTTTACTATTGGCATCCTAATAGCTTTATTTCTTGCCAGCAGAGCCAGATCTGAGAGGAACCTTAATGAACTGGAAAATTGCCAACATTTTTAGTAAAACACCAGCAAATAATGGATACATGATCCAAAAATTCTGCTGATGACTTTTTCCCCTCACTTAAAATGCCAATGCAGTATGTGTGCGAAGCAGAAAAGGTCACATCAGCCTAAGAAATAATGTACATAAAACCAGATCAAAGTACAGAAGACCTAAGAATAGTTGTTGTATTATCTGCGTGGTACACTTGCTTTCCATCTGCACATGATCAAAATACTGCTGCAGTCAACATCAGCAGCATGTTTGTAGTTGACACAATCAACTGAAATGTTCTCAGGTGGGCTTTTGGTGTGACAGTAGCACAGAACTTACTAAGCTACAATGCCAGCTGAGCTAGTGTTTCTGGAATTAATATTTTCCCAATTTTTAAGGTCTTTTTTAATTGTGTTCCACAGTGCTCAGTGGTTGACTGGTGTTCTCCTATTGGATACCATGTATCTGGACACAGTCTTTCAGTTCAAAATCCCTCTTGTGAAGAAGACACATCCCCATCCATTTGTGGTGTGAGTGTAGTCATGATTTATTGTTCCTACACCTGCAGTTCTACTTGGGCAGCATCTCCACCCTTTGCTGTGACAGAATTTGGAGCTTCATTACAGATCTCAGCTTTTCCTGGTGTACACTTTCACCTGTTCTCAGACTCTCTGCAGTTGTTCACAAGTAGCTTTACACCAAATTATGGCTCAATGTTTATGACTTTAGAACTGTAAAACACTCTCAAACTCTTCCAGTGTCAAATTCAGGTACAGATGATGTACTAGCACCAACCAGGGATCACGTGACAAATTTGAAATTTGCATTTGGATCAGGCTCCATTAATCCATAAATTTTGTCAGTATGGCTCACGTGTACTTTGTCACTGGCCATGCCAAGTTTCCCATAGGTTTCACTGAACCAAACTACAGACATATAAAATGTATTTTCAATCAAAGCTCCCATGTTAATTATTGGGTATTGTTCTATGCTCATTGTAGCATTTAGGAAAGTTTAACAATATTCCATAAATGAATCTCGTGTAGCTTTTAAGATAGCTACTTTTCTGAAAGATTTCTGCAGCTATTTTTCAGGATACACTGAATTTTTAGACACATGGAAATTGGACTTTGCCCCTTATAATGTGGTCTTCTCGTCCAGAGACTAAATGTCTCAGCTCCTTGATTTCCCTTTTTCATGTGCCAAGAAACAGCAGAAGTTATATGTTGTTTTATATTCAACTGATCTGTCACAGTTGCAGATCATCACAATGACTGTAGTTATTTTTCTCTTACAATTCATATACAACTACCCTAATATACTCTGAAGGGGACTTCATGCTGTTTTCTTGTGATGTATTTAAGGTTGTGTAAATGACACAAGACAAATCGGTGTTCTGATGTATGGCAGGAAATTGTCAGACAATTGTGAAATCATCATCATGTCATGATGATGCTCACTGTCTTGATCCCAGGGTCAGTGATCATTCAGCAGAATTGGAGATGACTTGGCAAATTTTCTTCTAGTCTGTTAGCAGTGAGGACCAGAGATGTTTGTCTCCTTTGTGGCAAAGGTCACCTTGGCCTATTCTCTCTTGCTGGTTTGTTCCTTTGTCGTGGCAGAGGTTTGAGAGTATGCCCTTACAGGATACACAGATTTGGGACATAAGAACATGGTCTTCTGTGGCTGCTTCTTTCTGTGGTGGAAGCACCCTGGTGTGTGGAGGAGTTTGCCTAACCCAAGCAATCACCACTTAAACTAATAGGGCAACTTTGTTACTATAATGGACTGTGATACACAGCATGTCAGTTTATGTGATTTAGTAGCCTATCTGGGCTAAAAGCTCTGTGGAAGTTTAAAGCAGAGGTTTGATATGCTGAAGCCTGCTGGGGATGACTGCTCTTTATTTCCTGGCAGCACTTACATTACATTAATTCATGTTATCAAATGCCTGATCTGTAAACCGGCATCAGTGTCCATTCATGCCAGCAGCAACATATTTTTAACCAGTCAAGAAAACATCAAGTCAACTCAAAAAACTATTTGGAAAATCCACAAACTAATCAAGAAGATTAACATAGCACAGATCAATTAGGGTAGGAATGGGCTGCACAGCTCCTTGGAGCAGTTTTATGGTAGTGTAACTTTATGATGCAGGAGGGAAGGAAAGGTGAGACCTAGCAACATTGCATTTGAATTGCAACTCAGGATGGAAATTCTAAGCGGTGAGAGAAGTGTTATGCTACTTTCTGGATGCCAAGACTTCTAGCACCTACCTGAGAAAGTTAGAAGTGTTTTGGTGTATGACCACTCCTTACTGCCAAGAGTTCTTTGTTTGTCTTCTGGTGTAGAGCTGTGATCTCCAGCCCTCCCTGAGGGCTGAAGACAAAGCTGAAGAGTCATGTAATTCTAGGAAAGGACCAGGACAATAATTTGGCAAATATGAGCTTATTCAAGTAAGTAGAAACAACTTTGTAATGTCTGACAAGACATTTTAGTTTCTGTTACTCATTTTCCTATTTATAAAACAGAACAAGAATCACTCCAGTATCACAAGGCTCTCACAGTAATAAGGCCACTTATGTTAAATGAATTTACTTTTGGGTAAAATTTTGGACGTGCTCAAGGGATGAAATTGGATGATCGGTACATTTTTCTTTTCCCTTGCATCACAGGCTCTCAACCTTGAATGTAATGTATGACCTTAATGTAATCAGTTCT